AGCTCTATTCTGTGTGGCTGACGGTGGAACAGAGAGAGAGAGAGAGAGAGGCTTTGACGGTCGACGTAGAGCGTACGCTCCAGAGTAAGGTTGGTTGGTGGCACACTGGCAGTTCTCAACTTGTGTAAAAGGTCCAGCCATGGAGCTTGTCTTGTGCTACCTAGTTAGTTCGAGCTTGTTAGTTCGTTCCCGGCAGTTTCAAGAGCGTCTCCGGCAGGCTTCTTCACTGTGGCTGACTGCCAGTTCTGGAGTCCAAGGTTGTCAAAAGCTTGGGATAGGGCGGTCAGACAGACGCAGTTTTGCTCATCAGCGTTCATCTGAGGAGGGATAAAGTTGAGAGTCTCAGTCCGAATGTCCCGCATGTGAATAGAAAGTAAAGCGGGAGCCAAGCTCGTCTGACAGTCGCAGGTTCCATAGTGCCCGGGCTGAGCTGGTTGACTTGAGAGTATGTCAAGAATAGCAACAACCAAAAAGTCATTTGGTGATTGCTTGTTTTGATTAATTAGGTGAAATCATGCCATTCCCAAACGAGAAACGACGAGTCGGAGAATTGAAGGGATTGACTATGGCCCCTTTGGAACAGACGAGAAAAGCGCAGACGTGAAGTTGTGAGCCTGATGAGGAGGCGGAGAGCTCAGACTTGGACGCCGTGCAGTGATAACGGTAAGCTCTGCGGTGATCCGGTGTGCTGGCGTGGAGGAAAGAGTTTTCTCTCCCACACACCCCCTCGGGACCCCTTCTCTACATTTGCCTCTTAGTCGTTGGGAACAGAGCTTCTAACCACATGTTTCTGTTCGGTATAGATGCCTATTGCGCGTGCACTGGGGATAAGGCGGCAAAGAAACAAGTGACATCCATGCTGGTAGACCCTTGTTAGTCGAGCAGAGTTTGTCCCCCTCTCGGCCCCAAGCGATGGTGGTGGTGTTGGTGTCGATGGTGAAGAAGGTGGTTGCGGGTTGAGGAGGGAACGAGATGGTGGTGCTAGGAATAGCACGGCATGCCCCGTGCCGGGCGAAGTACGGGATAACAACTCAGGTATCGATTCGTCGAGGCTTGTTGCCCCCTTGGATTCGTTTGGGCCATTGGACCCCCTCAGTCTACTGTCATGATTCGACTTCCCTGATGGACAGGAGTGACTCGAGCGTTGGTACGATTACTGGAGCATAACTGCGTATTCGTGAGGGCAGAGGAAGGGAGGGACTCGCAATATCGAGGCTGGAATCTGGAAGCTGGATGCTGGATGCTTGCTGCTGGGTGATGCCGGGATGGAGAGCAAATTTGCGTCGGCTACGTTGGCCGTAGTGTGGCAGCATGGAGTATCCGCAGCTCGCACAAACAGGTCGGCATTTGGTTGAATGAGGAGCAGGGAGGCTTGATGCAAGTGGGATGAAGATGGACAAGATCGGCGCCTCGTGGATAGTAAGAGATGGGCCAGAACTGAGCGCCGGGAATTTGAAGAGGCACCAAGGGCACCAAAGTGTGAGGAGTGGTGGTTGAGTTTGGTGAGTGCTTGTCAGAGTCAGAGGGAATTGCCCGCCCGTCTCCTGTCTACCTTAGGTACTTCACAGTAGGTACTCCTGTCTGCAACTCCTTCCCCCACTCCGCGTCCCGATTGAGGAGGACGGAGTACGTACTTCTCAAGGCTCAGGGTCGCTGTCACCCTGCCCGAATGCCTAAGATCCCCTGGCACTTGCCCTGAGCTGAGTCCCTGAGTGATGCCTGAGGCCTTAGGCAAGAAGTGAGACGATGGAAAAGAGGGGCGAGTGCGCGATGGGAGACCTGGGTAAAGATACGTATCTCACCGCGATACTTGGGTTGGAGTCCGAATGGGAATACTCCGTACCGGTACGGAGTATAGAACTGGAAGGAGAGCGTCCTTGGGTGGACGGGTGGACGGGATGATGTACTTCCGAGTCCAATATCTGATGGAAGGAAGGTAGGTACCTTACCTACCTACCTTTCAACCTCCCACTGTACCTTCCTTGCATTCCAACCGCAAGGAAGCACTTTGATGGCAATTCTCTTTGCGCGTTCTTCCTCCTCCTCCTTCACTGAACAATGACAGGCGTCAGACCATGGCTATAGTAGTCCGCTGTGGGCAACAACGATGAATTGCAATGTTGCAACGCTGCAATAATGGCCTGAGGTACGGTTGCAGAGAAGGGAATGTACCTTGCATGCGTGTGAGCCGTAGTATCCAGGCACGGAATACTGCTTCCATCGATGAGATTGACTGTGAGATCGGCGCCTGGAGCCAATGGAGCTCGGCAGACGGCACTTGCTTAATCTCCTGAGCCTTATGCGCCAATGGATCAAGGTCCATTACCTCGACGGTGGTCCTCTGGTATCTGACAGGCGTACCCGTATTGTAGGGTCCTCATCAACTTCAGCCGTCTTTCCATGATCCCAGGGGCCAGGACACCGGTGACCGGTGCCGGAGTCGTGCAAGGCTAAGCAGCCAGGTGAAGGGGGAGGGTGTCGTGGACTTGTGGGTGCTTTGCAGTGTCAGAATTTGTCTGTCTGCCCGGCGTGATTGCTTGAGATGAGGTCTCCAAAGGGCCACCGAGGCACCTACCTCCCTTACCTTACGTGTACGCACACAATTAAGAAGTGAGCCACTTCGGAGGTGAGGGACCTGACGGCATCTTAGGTAAGGTAAGGCATCTCAGACAGTACGGAGTACATGGCTACTGTGTAAGGTAGTCCCACAAAATGGAAAGACTCCAACAGTTCACTCTTTCCTACGAAGTAAACTTGGAGACTTGAGGTGGAGTGTTCCTTCCCTACCTAAGGTAATAGGGAACATGGAGCAGCTGCCAGGAACCTATCTTAGCTACGTACCTTGCCTTGGAGTCTGGACGAGAGTCTGGATTACGTACGCCACTAACCCCGAAACAGACTAGACATATGGCTCTGACAGGGAGATCCTCCGATGTGCCTCCGTATCCATCCCCAATCCGCAATCCACAACAGCTCCACGCTGTATACGTACCCGGTCTCGTTTCTTGACAACTTCAGACTTCCATGACTTCGACCTCTCACTATCAATCCACAAAGTCAACCCCGACCCTAGACGAAGCAAAAGCTGGAGCCGGACTTATGCACCTTGACCCGGCGGAACTTGGGTCTGGACGCTCGATGCATGCTGAAGCTACATTCGAAATGGACTGGCTGACTGGATCCCGATTCCCGGCTGCTCGCTTTGAGCCCATTCTTTCTTTCTACCAGATCCCACATCCCTCAGCGGTACAGTCATCAACCTTCTTCAAAGTCCAACCTCTCTACGCAGTATTCCTCCAACGGGCCCTTTCAACTAAGTGTACGGATACCCTTGCGGGCACTTCTTCATCCTCTCCAATTCTCGCAGTCCCTGGACACTTGCGAGCGCACTTTGCACCTACACACGGCCACATTTCCGGGTCTCACATAGTGTTGAACCAGACTCGGCAAACCTCTCCGTAGCAACTTGCATTCATATCGACATCAAGCCACGGTTCGTTGTTAGCTCAGCATGTTTTCCCTAAGTCGAGAATCAGGGGGAGGCTACATGTTAAGATACCTTACCTGCTCCAGAACAACTTAGATGCGACACATATGCCGGAAGCACAGCCGAACCCTGAGTTTTGAGCCGTTGACTTGTAGGCCGTCGATCTGCGACGTAGCTACGCAAGACAAACCTACGAGGACCACTTGGCACTTGCTCCGAGTCCGACGAGTCTCGAACCCACACCATGCTAGACCTTCTACTTGGCTTGATATTCCGCCTAGACCAGGACCTCTCTCACCATTGCCGCTGCTTCGCTTTCTGCCCACTCTAACTTGCTCGATACGATGCATGTGTCTGTCGTTTTCCTTTTCAGGACCTAGCAATCTCTCAACCTGCGGCTTGGGATCTGCATTGGCGATTCAGAGACGTGCATCAATCCCTTGACCATAGCTGGCAGCATCGATCTCTTTCCAAGGTCTACGAAGCCGGCAGGTCCCATAGGTTGCAAATCACAAGATACCACGGTAGCAAGCTCATGGATCATGCCTGACCCCATGGCCCCCTCTCCGTTGCATGCCAACGTTCGCATCCCTCAGACAAAACGGATGCAGTACGGATACATCGCACTCTATGAATTCATACAGAAGCCGATGTGCGAGCGGGCGGGCGAGCCACCCGACTATTTCAACGGCCTTGACTGAACACAATTAGCCTTTTCCCAATCGTCTGGCCTGCCGAAGCAATCAGCCCGCACGCCCGCTCTTATCCATTGGGATTTGAAGTGCCGGCTGCACATCAGTTTTGCACCGCATGCCGCACTGGGATGGCTGGAAAGCCACTGCTGCAACCCACGCATCTGTCTCCAGATCGTCAGCGGACAGCTCTAGCACCGAACGCCGCTGTAAGTCCGACATAAACTACTGGGCAACTCGCCCAACTGCCTTCAAAGGCACTCACACAACGCAGTGAAGGTATCCGCACACCCACAGTTTCACGCCACGCTACAGCACCTTGTTTCTGCACTCTCGCCCTACTTCTGCCGATCCAGGAGCCGTCGGCCCCACGCCGCCCACTATGGCTTGTTCCCGATATCCGTCTTCTCGGGGTCTTTGAGAATCTATTAGTACGGATACTCGCAAGTGTGATGATGGCTGGACTGCTTCACCATCATGCGGGAATTCTTGGCACATCTCACAGTACGGTTGAGCAATACGCATATTATCCCTCCCGGCTCGCCACGTTCATCTGGTTTTAGCAACCAAAGCCTCGGATGGATCCTTTGGAAACTGTGCATGCCAGGCAAGAATCAGCGAAAAAGGGGGGGGGGGGGTTCCGCCAGCCGGGGATTTTGATGACGACCGCCTCCTGTGCTAGTGGCAGTGCTACCAAGCCTACAGATTGACAAGTTTATGTCTACAGGCCGCTCGACTCGAGGGATTCCGTCCCCGTACCTCCTGATCAGTCGGCAGCATCCGGATGTTCCCAAAGGCCATCAAAGTGGCTCCATCGAGAATCATGTTCTCGCAATGTCACAACCACCCAATTTCCCCGAATCATGTCCCACAAGTTCCGTTCCTGACGGAGAACACGCACGGATGTCGCTCGCCAGGGGAAACACCGCCGGGGGGTTCATCAGCGCTAGTGCCCTGGGTGACAGGGCCACAGGATGGCCAGGCCTGGCCTGGCCTCGAACCGTTGACAGCGAATCCACGAACAGGCAATGTCCCAATGTCATCTTGCGGCTTGCCATGGCCCGCGGGCCTTGTACATGAAGATTTCGCTGCTCGCTACTCCGATTCGAAGCCCTTCGAGTTCGGCCAGATGCCCGGGGTTATATCTGCGACGGCCAAGTTCCCGCTTGGAGACCGTGGATACTGGAAACTAACCAGGCTCGGCTTCTCCAACATGCCATTGTCAAATTAAGCTGGCGCTACGGATACCTGCCAAGGTTACGGCCTAGTGTCCACTGTCCACCGTTGGAAGAGCATTTCAGCGAGTGGCCTGCCCAACTGTCCAACAGCATTCCTTCGGCTTGAGCCCCGAGAGCGGCTGGTCTTTGCATGGCTCTAGCAGGCCGCCCCAGCAGAAAACATCGAAATCGCTGCCGATGGCCCGAAATTTCCTCCGACATGCTCGCCAGGACTCCCACGTCCCTTGTTTCTTTTCCGACTTTCTGCCAGACTGCCACGCTTCTGACGTAGCATTGGGCTCCGTCACGGCAGAGTAGCCTCGCAACCATCATGTCAAAGACTCCATACGGGCACGGAGTACGGAAGCACTACTCTGTACGTACACAATACACAGTAGACTGCGGCTGGGCTTGTTGCCCTCAGTTGCTGTCTGCTTTACACTCTTAGCCCCCCCGTCATCTAGATACGCCTGCATATTTTCCAACGATCCATGTCTCAATGCATCGTGACACCTGGGCACTTTGCTCGGTCAGCCAGCCGAGGGTGAGCAAGCCGACGCGGCCAATGGTAGGGCCTCAAACCTCCGGGTGATAGTCGATATCATCGTCGTTGCGCAAGATTTGATCTCGCCAACCGCGTCTTCCCGCCTTGGAACGCTCCGCATCCGCCATCATGTGTCGAGAACTGGTCGATTGCCCCGGGCCCGGTGAGGCCCTGTCCTTGTCAAAATATGCTCCTGCAGCACGCAGTGCGCTATTGCACAGGCTTGCACAGGCTTACGAGCTAGATGAGCTGGGAGGGAGGAGGGAGGAGACTACCTTAGCCTGCAGTATGTGAGTGAGTGCGTCCCTAGCCTCTCCTGGGAAAAGTCGTGCCGCGAGAGACGATCCCTCCCCCTCCTGATGGCCTTCTCAAGAGGGCCACCACTCGCGTGGGCCGGGGATGCATCCATTAGCACGCCGCATCCCACTTCCCGAAGCCCATGCGCCCGGTCAGGTTGCGTGTACGTTTCTGCCGTGTACCACGGTACACAACGGCCAACCACACGCTCTTCACCTCCACGACAAGCAAACACATGAAGTAAAGGAGGTTTCCGACCCCTTGGCTTGCTTGGTTGGCCTTGTACTGTGGCCTTGTGGCGCAGACGACCGCACACAAAGAAGATGAGACTCGCAATGATGTTGTGGTATTACTGCGCCGCACAACGGCCAGCGTCGGTCGACTGCGCGATGAGAAAACCCAGACACAAGTGACTCCCACGTCAGGAAGAATAGGCCATCCTCTCCCATTCGACCCCCGAAAGTCTCGACAGGGCTTTTTCACCATGGGGTTGGGACGTCTTCCACATGTTGCGGGTACTTGGTACATACAAATATCACATTGGCGTGGTCGGACCCGGTTACTACCCCACAGGTCCGCATCAACAATTGCATCTCAGAGGTTGTATTCACAAACATCGATATCCCTTCTGTTCATTCTCAACGATTCCCTTCAACCATCCAACGGACCGAAGCTGATGTCTAGGCTCGAGGTTCTCCTGGGACAGGGGTAAAAAGTATGGACATCGCTCGATTGTAAGAGTCAACGAGTCGCTGTCTCCAGCTTCACTTGGGAGAAAAGGTGTTCTAGTCATCCTTGTCAGCACCACATACGTCTTTCCTCTGTCGTAGGTCGCCGTGCCACCGAATGGTTACCAAGGGTCCAACAGTTGCGAATGACGATTGGCGCAACTCCCGGAGAAGTCGCCGCTTCTTAGGCTGGTTGTTCGGCCATTCTCATTCACGTCCTCTACATACCTCGGAGGTTCGCAACTTGGCTAGCTTTCCCGAGCCATGGTAGAGGGCTGCGTGACGAAAGCGCAGATCAGTGGCAGATGGTAACACGACAGGTGGTCGCGTACATGGTGCGGGTGTACTGTACAGAAGCAGATTGGATCCATTTCACGACTCGCAGCATTCCGGCCGGGACGGTATGTTTGCAGCAATGTAACGCGATCCCCGAGTCGTACAGCACCTCTTCAACAGATCGCCGCCATTGATTCAGTGTCAATCGCAGACAAGAGGATTTGTCTGACCGGGGCCATGGGTACTGCAAGCATGCCGGGGGTCAAAGGACAAGCCCATGTCAGCAAGGTTACAGTATCGTGTCAATCGCTTAAAGGCCAGAACTCTTCCACGGGGGAATGGGGACGACGATGGCGTTGCCGACGTCTGCCACACGTCCGCGTTTGTGCACACGACCGACAGTTATCATTTGGACTCGGTAGGGACTACAGAGTACGCAGTATGGTCACGATAGGACCCTCCTCGACCACGCCATTCCTTGTCAGCCCCTTGGTCAACATTGGCTCTTGGTGCCGCGGATTAAGAGCATAAGCTATAACCAGGACTTTTATCCTAAACGAGCCGTGGAGCCGACGCATCTAATCACAACCGAATGCCGAATCTGCGGATAGGTGAGATCGGCTCCGCACTTTTTCACACGAATATTAATAGCCAAGCTTTGGAGTTTGGTTTGTGACGGATTTCCGCCGTCGAGTCAACCATCAGTAGACGGCCACCAGTCTGCTGTGATGTTGAACCGATTCGCAACATGAATCAACTATATCAGAGTTTCGTTCAAGCCCAGGGAAACCGTGTTTCCACTCGGGAGAGTTGTCAAGAATTATCCACAACGGACCGCAGACTGAATGTCGACGGCGCGATTGGCGTACCTGGCAAGCTGGCTCGAGCTCCCAAGGCTTGTCGGCCCATATGAAACATGACAGCCCGGAGTGGTAACTTGCCAGGTTCCATCCGCGAAGCGAATCTAAAGTGCAGTTTATCTGAATACCACTGGGTGATAGCCGAGAAGTCTACTACGGATGCTGCGTACGCAATACACTAGCACGCCGGCATGACCTCGACGGAGCTCTGTCGAAAGTAGCACCTCCTCCGAGCCCTCCTCAGCAACTCCTCCTCCTCCTCTTCACCTCCGTCTACAGTCTACACCCTCTTGAGGGGCACCGAAACGGACCATGTGCAGCGCAGGTTACACTACAAGCATCGTTGCAGCAACCCGAGTTGCAGACAAACCCAGGCAGTAGACTCGGTCAATCACGGTGCTCAGGAGACGCCATCAACCGCCCTCTGGATTCGAGGTGCCATTCGGTATATCCGCCGGGAGGGAACAGCTCCTGGGTAGCGTGATGGGCACCCGGTGGCAAGCAGAATGGTGTGCAACCCCGCAAAGAGCAAAGTTATCTGGTCGTTCCGGCTGGCAAGTCCTCTGCCCACTTTGAATCGTGAGACTTTTGTCTTTTCAGCAAAGTTATCCACCAATCCAACCATCGTCACCTCGCCTTAGTTATTGTCTGAAGAGAGTGGTCTATGAGCCATACCTAACGTAGTTAAGGAGACCGGACGAGGATATACATAGGAAGTATGCGTGTCATGTCACACAAATGCAACCGCCGATAACTCGAGGACGGGTGCTGGCAATATCGCATCGCATAGCTTAAACTCGGGCAAGCTCACCGACAGAGACTAAGAAGCAGTGTGACGATGGCGGCAACGACCGTAAACGCACCTTCTTACCCGTAATGACTGTACCGTCAGCCGCGGCTTGCTACGGTATCAGTAAGACTAGCTGTCAACGTCCGGTCCCAAGACGCGCATGCATGTTACCATCCACCGATTAGCTTCCGATGGCCAGGCAGATTGGCAGGCTATCCGTATTACCTCGCACTCTTTTCCCGAAGCAATACAACGTTTGAAAACGGTCGACAGCCACTCGTGTGTTTTGTCTTGAGTCTTTATCCGTACCCGCGCTTTCGAGCAGCGGTGCGGCGTGCCTCCAAACAACTGGGTCCGGCAAAGGATGCGGAGAGGATTGGGTCTGCGGCGGCAGTTATTGGCAACAGGCGGTCAACAAGCCGAATGAAACAGCACTGCCAAAGAAGCCCTTGCTAGCTTGCATGAAATTGGGTCTGGCTGGGTTTGGCGGATCCCACATTCCTGCCAGCGGGAGAGGGGAACACCTACGGATACATGGGTAGCAAGCAGCTCGACAAACCGAAGGATCATCTTCACTCGCAGGTTAGATACAAGCACGGCGAGAAAAAAAAAAAAGAGTCCAACGGGATTGCTCCTCGCACGCTCGGGCGCTTCAACAAGAAGCTTGTGTCCCTCGTGGCCCAGGGTTGTCGATCTCGGGATAAAAAGGTTCACGGGCGCATCCCAAGTCTTTGGATAAGGTAGGAAGATGGAAAGTCTGACAGAAAAGGTGGTTGCTGTCTTCAAACGGACAGAATTAGAACAGAGAGGGCGGGCAGCGGGCATCAAGATGCAACGGGACGACTGGTGACTGGTCGCGTGCAACAAGCATCGGGCGCGGGCGCGCGGAAACGGCCATGACAAGCTTAAAAAGACACAACGGATGAAGGGACGGAGGTCAACGGGACTCCATTCCAACCGCCATTCCATCATCTCACCTGGACGTTGGAGCTATTCCTGTCGATAAGCTTTTGCGCACGACTGGCGGAGGCTTCCCTTCTCGCTTGAGAGATCGGTGGTTGCGACGACTCACGTCACAGATGCCATGGGACAGCCCGTGCCACCATGGATGGGGCTGATAATCAAGCATATCAAGGGCCAAGAGACCCTTTTTAGAGGGAGGGGCCTCACGGGCTAAGACCAGGAACATTCCTTGGCTTGACAGTTCGGAGCAACAGCCTGAGGGGGCGTGTTCGGCCGTTATCCAACATCTCAGCTCCTTGATGGATATCCATACGTATGTACATACGCTGCGGCGGCGTACGGATAGCCCTGGGAAAGTCTGAGAATGGTATCATTCAGCTCTCTCAGGTCCCAGTGATGCGAGGCAACACTAATGTCCACCTAGTATGGATATCCCTTCGTAGTCAGCCATCCCGTCGGCTGCTGCCTCGCCCGGTTCATCGGCGGCCACAAGACGGATCTGACCACCGAATCCCGGTCGTTTCTGCGGTTTTTTTCTTTTTCCCTTGTTCTTCCTTCCATGGGCGCACCGCCCGTCGCCCCCCGCAGTCAAACACTGGGATGGATCTCTCTTCTGATCGGCCGTCGAAAAATGTCCAGTTGACGTTGAACTTTCAGCTCCGGGATGATCCCTACCGAGAAATCCTAGGAGCGGCGTGCGGCGCCACCACTTGCCAGCCTTTCAGCCCCCCAATGTGGGAAATAACCGGGGAATCGGCAGGTTTCTGGATGTCTCTGGATGTCTCTGCGCTCTGGGACAAGAAAAAGCAATACCAGAGGTCTAGACTTTGGAAGCGGTTCAGCGGCAGGCGGCAGGCTCTATCCGTCGCAACGGGGGGAGAGCATCCTTCAAAGACCAGACAGACAGAGAGGGGTCTCGCTGGAGCCAATGAAGGTTGGCGAGTGCAACACAGATTGGGTTTCGAGACCATCTAGACGAGTTCGAGGAGCGCGCCAGCCCGCACACTGCTAGCCGTTGGCGGACCGCTGAAGAAGAAACAGCCAAACCAAAGCATGATACCTAAGGAATGCAGTCTACCAATGTCGTATGTGGCGGCCGCCTGGACCTGTCAGTCTCTGAGAGTCTGTGAGGCTGCCCGTTGTTGAGGTCTGAACGTACATATGGCACGGTGACTTGACAATAGGTGACGGGGAAGCTGGCGGCCCCCTCGCGAAGGCCAGCCTCCCAGACTGTTCAAATGGAAAGCATTCCATTCGCGGACAACTTGCTCATGTCAGTCAGTTGCGGCTGCACGTCTCTTTGCCACTGCAACTGCGACTGCGACTGCGACTGCGACCGCACCCTCCGGCTTCAATCCTGCTTTCTTGCGACAGTGAGGTGCGCCGGGACACCTCTTTCCGACGTCAAAGCTGGAGAAAAGAAGGGTAGGATCTGTGATTGTGCCTGTCACCAACGAAAAGTGTTCCTAGCCCAATTCCCGATTCACTGCGACATCATCGTCGTGACAGGCAGAACGGGAGGGAGCTTGTTTCGTCGATGGTCATATTTCGTCCAATGTCTTCCTCCCCATATCCCCGATGCTACTACTCTTAGCCCGCTTCAAACATGGATATTTCAAACCATCTTGTCGTTCGACGGCTTCGCTGGTCGTGCGTTTAATGCCGCAGGGTGCGTCGCGGGCCCGGAAAATTGGGCCACTCACTGACGACAGAGGGCCCTGAGAGGGGGGAGCGGTTAAGCTGCTGGAGACTCTCTTGACCACCGGGTTGGAGAGAGTGTGGGAATGGGTGTGGGAGAGAAGCGTTCTGGCGAAGGCTCGCCTCCGGATCCGTGGCACGGGAAGTTTCTTGATCAGGGGAACCCCTTTTCACAGGTCCCTCGTTCTCGCGATCTCTTGCCTTGTGGTCAATGCTAGTCGTTTTGGAATCTTTGTTTCTCCGACAGCCGTGGAGGCTCATTACTGCCCTCTTTTCAGTCTCTTTTAGTACTATCAGCCATCACTCCATTGTGTCTAAAATCCCTTTGTTATCTTGGATGGATATTCCCGAGGCTAACAGCGTTAGCCAGAACCACTTATACTCGGTCGGAAGCCGGACACAGTCAAGCGGGCGAACGAAGACTGGGCCGAACCTTCGCCGTCTTCCGCTGCAGAAAGAAACACGGCGCTCGCCGACAACGAGGGGAACCTGATAACGTAAACCTGCGAATATGGAGACAAATTCGGGTCATTGTCACCAAAACGAGAGGCAAAACGTAAAAAACTGGAAGTGAAAGAAAAAAAAAATCCAATGATATGACACAACACGGATAAGAAAGAAACTTTTGGTGGCAGATACCAAGCCGTGCGTTCATCTACAAGACTTTTCTAGAAGTTCTCCAACAAAATCTATTTTTGTTCGTGAACGACACAAAAGGCAAAGGTAGAAACCTGTCGAGAAGATTTTTTGAGCAAACTTTTTCAAGTGAAACATCTTTCTACTAAAATACACCTCTCATCTTTTTGCGACTTCTCTCCGGCGCATCGCATCGCATCGCATCGCCTCCAAACTTCATCCCATCATTCGTCGTTTTCATCTGCAGAACCGACAACGACCTCTCACTCTCTCTATCTAAAGCATCTCCAACAAAACGACACACAGACTCTGCAACTTCAGACATCTGGGGCCCCCCTCATCATCATACTCAAGACACTCGCACACACCCCACACCCACACCCACACATTCACGACACGCATATCCCGCCCACGATGTGCAAGGACAACCTCCACGACTTCCTGGTCGATCTCCCAAAGTGCGAGCACCACATTCACATCGAGGGCTCCCTGGGGCCCGAGCTGCTGTTCCACCTGGCCGCACAGAACAACATCGCCCTGCCCGTCGACAAGGATCCCGCCTTCGCCAGCGTCGAGGCCCTGTACGAGCGGTACCGCAACTTTTCCTCGCTCGACGACTTCTTGCACTACTACTTTATCGGATTCTCCGTGCTCCTGACCGTCACCGATTTCGAGGAGCTGGGCTATGCCTATCTCAAGAAGGCGCACTCGCAGAACGTGCGTCACGCGGAGGTGTTTTTCGATCCGCAGGCGCACACGTGCCGCGGCGTCGCGTACGAGACCGTCATCGAGGGCTTGAGGCGCGCAAAGGAGCGTGCGCAGCGGGATTTCGAGGGGCTGACGGTTGAGTATATCGTCTGCTTCTTGCGGCACTGCACCGTCGAGGACGGGCTGCGCATGTTTGTCGAGGCCCGGGACGCGGGCCACTTTGCCGACGGCACGATTGCGGGCGTGGGCATGTCGAGCAGCGAGGCGCCGTACCCGCCCAAGATGTGGACGTCCATCTACGACGCGGTGCGGGCGGCGGGGGTGCGGGCGACGGCGCACGCGGGCGAGGAGGCGCCTGCCGAGTGCGTCGTGCAGGCGCTCGACGACTGCGGCGTCACGCGCATCGATCACGGGCGGCGGTCGGCGGAGAGCCCTGAGCTGTTGGCGCGGTTGGCGCGGGATAAGACGCTGTTGAGTCTGTGTCCGATTTCGAATGTGGTGTTGAGGGGCGTCAGGGAGATGAAGGAGATGCCGATTCGGGAGTTCTTGGACAAGGGTGTGCGATTCAGCATCAACAGCGACGACCCTGCGTACTTTGGGGGGTATATCCTTGAGAATTACTGCGCCGTGCAGGAGGCGTTTGGGTTGAGCATCGAGGAGTGGAAGGGGATTGCTGTTGGGAGTGTGGAGGGGAGCTGGTGCTCTGAGGAGAGGAAGGAGGTTTTGAAGGGGGAAATTGAGGTTGTTGTGAAGAAGTATGCTGGTAAGGCTTAAAGGGGCTAGAAACTGTGTATTGCTGAGTGGGTGGGAGAAGGTCTTGGGTTGATGGCGTTTGGGCGGATGTCTGATTTTTTGGACGAATGAGGGTTTTAGACACGACCTGATGTCGTTCTCTACCCCGGAAGGATTTCAACGAAGGGAGGTTGCATTGGTCCCCCTTCAACTGGGACTATCGGTTTTGGAAAAGGGGGTTTGAGAAGGAGATACCAGAATGTCACGATGCTGAAGATAGATTAGCGATTGGGAGTACATAGTAAAATAATGGAAACAAGAACACACATTTCAAGATTCAACAATGCCTATGGTGACTTGCATGGAAACTTCCATGAATATCTTTGGGCTGGCCTTGTACATCGCGAAGCGCTGGAAAAGGGGTAAATTCCCTCTCGTTGCCCAAACGCTCTCAACGTGTCCAGGTGAGCTGGGCTGGTGGGATATCTGACAACCATCACCGACGATGTAGGCATATCAACCTCCGAGGCTAGGCTCGATGTATCACCGTCAGGCGAATGATTTGCGGTTCTCGACGTAGCTGCGGAATATCCTCCGATTTACTCTGTTCGGTTCCCTCCATCCCTCCCCCCCCCCCCTTTTCCACTTCGAGCGATGATAGCTTTGATCAGAGAAGCATCGGCGCACTTGCTGGAATACCTTCAAGAACACGAATGTACGGTATCCAAGGCCGCGAATGCTATGCGACTGATTCTCAGGGTGATTGGTTGAGTTCATGCCGTGGTTCAAGCCTTGCGGATTCGAGTCGGCCAGGGAGAGGAGTGGGCCAAGCTGCCAGCGATACAACAAACGATCCCTCAAGAAATAACTCGTCGCGGTGCTATTGGCATTTGTTCTTTCATTTTGAGCTCTTCCAATTTCATTTTGTTATCCCTGAAAGTCATTCCAAGGCTCAAACTATTCTGCATTTCATCGTATCCTGCCCGGATCCTCTCGTTCAAGTCCGCTGTCACTGACGATAGCCCGCGTTTGTCAGTGATACCTCAGCAAACTATAGAACTCAGAGACCCCGGCTAGAGAGAGTCATACTGCATGAAGAATACAGTGCGACGCGCTTCAGATTCGTAGGATGTCTCTGGAAAGCAGGCCCGGTTCAGGCCGTGCTATGGCTGGAGGTGGTCTTCGCCGTGGCGGGCTTGTTGTGTGGCTAAGCTGATCGTGCACCGTCTACGCGACGTTGGAGAACGATTTCATCTTGTTCTATCTGTACGACTGGAATGGCAATACAAGCCTTGAGAGGATTCGACTAGAATGCTGTGCAGTCTATGGCAGCCTCCTCGTCTCAAGTCTTTGGCTGGCCCGAAACGGAAGAGCAGATCGCGGGCACATGACAACCCTTCAAACTGATCTCTACCGAGTTGAATCAACCGATCAAGACACCTGCATCCACCTCTTCACATGTGCTTCTCAAGTTGGCCACCGCTAGTCGCAGATTGACTTGATGATAGGGGGCGTGGTCCCCGCTAAGCCCGGCCATGATGTAGATCAAGGTGGTCAGATCTCGCAATGGCAGAAATATAACAGATCCGAGGTTCCGTCATACCACTAAGAGGTGGTGCTGACCTCTCCCGTTGTATGCAGAGTGCCACGACTGCCAATCATCTTTTACGCGAGTTTCTAGATTAGCACAATGCCTTCCAAGCTCCGTTGCGTGGCGGTACCCATAAACTTGTAGGCAACGAGATCATTCATCTGCGCTTGCCTCCTTCTCCGAAGTTATCCAGCAATCGCGCCAGGCATCCCAGTTTGCTTCGAGAGATCCGAGCTAGACGAACTTAGGTGGGTTAGAGCGGTGTACGAAGCAGACATCTATCTGCTGATTGAGTACAGGCCAGCAAGATTCTGATGGAAGCCCTCTAGATTACAGATGAGGTAGCATGAGTCACATACCCATCAATTGATCAGTATACCCTATCCAAGCACCCTCAGAATAGATCCTAGAGTTCCAGAAACCCCGTGGTACGAAGGCAAGAAGTGCTCATCCCGAGCCTATTCAATAACATCCGATTTCATTTCTCAAAAGCGAGAGCAACGGCAGGAACGAAAACCAATAATAACCAAGCATTCGAAAGAGAAGAGTTTCCTCCCCCCCACACCCAAAACTGAATAGCTAGATTAGCAAAAGAGTTCGCCCCCCCGGT